AAGGTTCAAAGTGTTTTGCTATTTCTCAGAATATTCAGTTTATCTTCTTGCTGCTGATGGGATGCTTTTTTAGTTATGTTATCCTTTTACAAGGTAGCTGAAAACTTTGGCTACTTAGACTACCATTAACTGCTGATGCTTTCCAAGAGGTTAACTCCTTTTACTGTTATGTTGTAAAGGAGAAAGTACTGAACACACTTTGCTCATTTTATCATTTCCAAACAGCAAGAAAAAATTTAAAAAACAAAATATATAAATTACTAAAACTCAGTGTAGAACTCTGAAAGGATCCTTTTCTGGAAAGCGTTAAACTTTTTATATAAAAATATATCCTGTATGGAAAAGCTAAGGCATAAATTAGGCATCTAGATAAAGGAAGTCAGACTGAGCTGTGTTATTATTAAATGGTTTGAATTATGGGAGCTTATTAATATCTAGGTTCATGGTTAAAACTAATTTTATGATTCTTTCAGTAGAACTGCAGAGGGTTACGAACACTTCTGTTCCTCAGGAACAGACACACACATTTTAAAAAAAAAAAAAAACCCTCTTATTTAAGGGTTTATTTGGGTCTAGGGTCCTTAGGAATTCCCAATTCTTTATGAATTTATGGTTTCTTATTGATAGAATCAGATTAGTTGCCAAGTCTCATATATGCTTGTAACCATGCAATCAGATACCCAGGCTTCTATATAGTCATGCAATGACAGAAGAACTACAATCCCTCAAAGAAAAATTGTAGCGGGGGAGGCTGTTCATTGTTGAATCAACAACATCAGAGTTGTTCAGATTTTTCCGTTCCCTCTGTGTTCCTTAGTTGCCTTTCAGAAAGACTGCTGCCCAGAGCAAGCCCTATCCTCTAGGCAGCAACCGGCTCTCAACTACTGTCTTTCAGAGCAAATGCACCTTTATTGAGGTGCTGAGCACGTGCAGTGAATTTTGAGTTTCCAATCCTGAGTCTCGATGTAAAGCACATGTTCAGCACATCTGATGCTTTCCAAAAGCTTGTGCACAATATCTCCATTATTACAGAGAAGAAGGACAGCTGCATGCAGTCCCTTGTTACTGAAAAGTAACTGGAAAGGTTGACTGCCTTTGATCATTATGTATTGAAGGCCTATAGGGAGCTTCTGTAAACAAAGTATCTTTTCCATTCAACTCCACTACCCCGTTCTAATTTCATTTTTAAGATTTAATCCACTTAATGAAAAGTGAAAGAAGATCTCAGTTTATTTTGAACTCTCCAGTCCTAATTTATAAATATTCTAAGCCTAGTTTTGTATGTCTTGTCATATTGTTCATTACCTAGGTTAAAGAGAAATTATGGCAGTAAATACATAATTCCATCATTTTAAAGGCTTGATCTACAAATGTGAAAATGCAAAGATGAAAACTAAGTCATTCCCTAGTATTTTGCAACACACACTGTATTCATTTGTTATCGTACCTTTGTAGGTACAACAAAAGATTTCAGTTTTTATTGTGAAGTCATATTTGTTTAAAGGCCCATCATGTTCTCTGAATATAACTTTGTAAAAGTTATTTTCTCTGTATTTATTTTAAAACACATTTAATGAGGGAGGAATACTTGTTTGAACACTTTAATTGCAATTTTTCAGTGTATCTCATTTGAAAATGCTGCTGAAAGCCGTGACTGTCCTTATAATGAATAGTTTTCTAACTCATCTTATTAATGATTAGTGTGAAGTACTGCAAGGTAGTTTTATAAGGAAAGAAGTACTGAAAGGTAGTTTTGTAAGGAAATGTGAGCAGTCTTGTGGAAGAATATTTTGCAGTTTGGTTTTTTTTTTTTTTTAAACCATTCTTGCATTCTAAGAATGACACTGCTCTTCTCCACGCTGTGACTGATTCCTAATGCTTCACTCCTAGTTGGCTGTCTTGAGATGAGTACTGCAGCAGGTGCACTTTAAACCGTCACTGTTTCTAGATGGATCATTTCCCTGTGTAAACATTGTTGCATGTTTACTTTATGAATTAATGCTGAAGTTATAGGTAAAATACATTAGCTCTCTGAAAAATACTACAAAGTATTTCTAACTCAAAGGCTCGTGGTTGACATGACCTTTCTCAGAACCAAGAGTACTCTTCCATGAGGCATGCTACATCAGTTTTATTTTGACTAATAATATTTTAAAATATAGAAAAGCTTATTTGCAAGTGTATTTTGTATATTATGAAACCTTCCAAAAATGTGGTATTAACACTGGGAGGTAACATAGACTGCTAAAGACGTCAATCAAACATCAATTATTTGTAAACTTGTTTATGAAATTGGAATGTGAAAATTTTTAATGAGGTTATGTTATACTGGCAGGACTACTTACTTTCTAGGGATAACTAACACCTCACTGTTGTTCAGGCTTTCAGTGTTAAGTTTCATCACCATTTGGTGTTTGACTGCAATAGTAATTAATTAATTTAGGTGATTTTTTTTTATTATTGTTGTTTTTGTGCCTTTTTTCAGAGCTTAATTCTACAGTGGTGCGTTAAAATTATACCTCTATTTCTGATGCATACAAAAGACAATATAAGGAGAAAGGCAGTGAAGAGTAAAGGACCTCTTTCATCTCTAGCCAAATTAATTGTGTGGTTTTTGTTTTTATCTGTCTGTTCTCAAGCTATTAAATGTAAAGTGCTCACTGACAATATACATACAGTTTTCCTCCCCGAGTGAAAACTACTTACGTGCGGTTTTGTTTCTGTAGTGCAACCACTGGAACTGTGGAGTTTTAAGTAACTGTAGATTATACATATCATAGGTAATATGCTCCATATTTCTCTGATGATAAAAGTTGACTAGAATGATTTATCAAATGCTAATTTATCATCGCAGTACAAATTGATCAGCTTGATTTGCTCATGCAGAGATTTACAACACTCTGGTGTAATTACTACATCAGTGTACGTGAGAAATGAGCTGAATAGGTACGTTTATCATAACTATCTCTTTACTAATGAATTCTTGCTACACAAATATTTGTATTTTTTTTAAAAGCTCTATATAGATTAATATGGCATAAAAAAAGCTAACTAATGAACTTTGTTCTGAAATCCAGTATTAGTAGTACGCATACTTGTAATCTAAATGTGTGGTATCTGTACTTCTCTAGTTTGAAACACATGCCCTCTTCTAAATGGAGGAGGGCCCAGTACACTAGATTGCCTTCCTTACTACATTATTAATGGCATTGGATGTATGGGGTTATCTGTGGTCAACCCAAAAGCAATAAGTCACCCGGAGGCTGCTTTAAGCCCAATAGCTGAGAAAGAGGGCAGGCAGGTGCCCTTCTCAGAAAACAGGGCCCTCAGAGGGGATGTTACAAAGGCAGCACGGAGCAGACAGTATAAATGGTCCTGGCCGGCAGCAAAACAGACGGCTAGTTGAACACACTTCACCTGATGAGGTCAGGAAAAAACAGACTTTACCCTAGTTGGCACGTAGGTCTTGTGAGTGTGATCTCAATATGTTTATGTACATTTCTTTTCAGGGTGTTGATGATGCCTTCTACACATTAGTTCGAGAAATCAGAAAACACAAAGAGAAGATGAGCAAAGATGGTAAAAAGAAGAAAAAGAAGACAAAGACAAAGTGTATAATTATGTAAATACAATTTATCCTTATTCTTAAGACGTACTTAAGTAATTTTTGTACATTACACTAAATTATTAGCATTTGTTTTAGCATTACTTTACTTTCTGCTTCATGATCCTGTTAGCTTTACCTGAATGCTTGTTTTAAATGACAGTGGAAACTTCATTCCTCTTAAGTGCCAGTATTCTTTGAGTGTTGGTTCTTGAACTAGCAATGCCTGTGAAAAATACAAAAACAAAACAAAAACCTGAGAACTCTCTTAGGACTCTTTGGTGCATGCACAGTTGCTAACTTCCTATTTTCTTACCAGTTGTGAACTTGTGTGCAAACAAAACAATGAAATAATGCTCTATACATTCTAATATTCCCTTTAATATTTTTAGTTTTTAAATCTGGTTGGGAAAATGGACTAGTTAGCAAAAGAGATTCAGACTTTCAGACTTTCTTATTTCAGACTTTCTTTCATTTTAGACTGACTGCAATATAGAGAGACCAGAAGCCTTTATAGTCTTCCTGTAGTTTTTGCTTCTAGGCATCTAGTCTTGTAGCATTTCAGATCAACTTTAATGAATGTAAAGATATAACTTTCACAGAAAAATTTTCACTGCAATTTGTCACAGTCACTCCTTAAATACTATATTTTTTCTATAAAAAAAAAAGAAAAATTAAAAAAAGACAATAATGCACATCTGGCAATGGAAAAAGTAAAAGTCCTAATTAGGTTGATTTGCTATTGTTAATGCATTGCTTTAAGACTTTCACTAACGTTTTGTGTCTGAAGACCATAGTGAAATCCTGGCTCTCCTGAACCCCAGTGGCAAACCTTCAAGTAGTTTAGGAGGTACAGGATTTCACCCTTAGTATCTCTAAGAAATACTAGAACGCCTTAACAGATAAGTTAATTCAAATGCTTAGTTTAATTCATACATGGATCCAGAATTTATCATAAGAACTAAATCAGAGAATTACTAAACTATATAGCTTAGTAAAACCGTTCTTCCTCCCCTTCCCCCTCCCCGCAAGGGTGGCATAATATTTTTCCAGATGCCCATTTTGTGTAAAACAGGAGGAATCTTATAGTAGCCTCAAATCAGTGAATGAATGAGCTTGAATTTAGCTGCTTCATGCAATTAATTTGGAAATCCACTATGCCATAAAAATGGTGTGGAATTTGCACAAACGTTCAGCGCAGATCATGGTTTCCAGAGTCAATGCTTGTGTGTTGTTTGTGAAATACTAGTTTTGTTGCACAGATTAAATAGTTGGTGAGTGGCATTCCAGTGTCTAGAGTGTCATGAAGCTAGACCAAGATCTTAATGTTGTCTTTCTCTGTATTTTTTTTCTTGTGTCTTTTTTTTTCCTGATTGGAATTAATGCAGAATTTTTGCAGCTTTCATTTTTGGTACTGCAGTAGTCTAGTTACTCTGCACCAAAAGAAGGGGCAGTGTTACCAGTTCCTGTTGTCTTACTGTAAATGCTGCAGTGTGTGATTGTTTTAGTTAGGGCCTCGGTTCCTGAAGGTACACTTTTTATTAGCACCTAGCTCAGATAGGTGCAGAGTAAAATTTGAAAATGTGACTCTGGTGTAGCCTGAAAGATAAAACACAAGAAGTTGAAGTAGCCATAGTTCAGGACACTGGACTGTGGTAAATCCTTAGTTTGGAATAAGGAGTAGCAGTAATGCCCTAATCTAAGCTATACCTTAACCTTTGCATCAAAATTATGGTCTGAGTTTTACACAGTAGAATTTTCATATACCAGTGTAACTTAGACCATTTATGTGATGTCAAAGGTGCAACTGCATAAGAAAAGAAGTTTTGCTTCTACAGAAAAAAACAGCAGTGACTCTCTCTTAGAGAGCTGCAAAGCTGGCAGGGGAAGTAATAAGTATGCTCTCTGGATTGCTGCATGTTCTTTTAATTTCATTGTGGCAGGCAGAAGTTAACAAATGAAGGCCTTCTCCTGCTCTTCTCCACCTCCCAAAAGTCCCCACCAAACCCTCTTACAGCTTCGATGTGAAAGATACTCTTAAGATTACAAAATATTCTGAAAGATGGTGATAGGGAGAACCTAACATGGTATTGTAAAGATCAGTAAGGAATAGGAATAAATTCTTAATGTCATAAAATATTTTACAACTTCTAAGGCTAAAACATTTGGGAGATAGTTGGTTATTTGCATATTTTAGACACTTTCTTGATTGTATGTGAAGAACGTAGCAGAAGTGGATAGTATGCCTTGAACAAACAAAAGAAATCCTAAGATTTGTGATTTTTTGGTAACTGCGTCACACTGCATGTAAAATTAGGGCCAGTCTGAAAGTTCTTATGCTAATTTAATTAAACTTTTAAGAAAAACAAATTTAGTTGAAATGTTTTGATCATCAAATGTAGATGAATATAGCTCTAATGTAAAGCTATATATAAAACACATTTTTATCAGTAAACGTGATACGTAGCTACCAATCTAATTAAATTAGTACAAAATCTATTTAGATTAGCTTTTATTGACTGTCAGGAATTACACATCCTTGCCACTGTTGTGCAGTTTTGTCTTAATATTTGTAGAGATTTGGTGAAGCATGTTGGATTGCAGCTTGCACAAGTTGATTTCATAATTATTCTGTCTTTCCTTACTTGAAATGCTTTTAAAGAACATACATGGATGCTATCTTTTCTGATAGTAATTACTAAATGAACATGTGAATCACGTACCACACTAATACATTAAATTGCCATGTGTCAGGGAGTAACACCTCCTTACAGTAGCTTTATGTAACCCTGGTAACCAAACAACTTTGTCATTGTTTTTCTCAAAACTGAAGTTTAATTCTCTTGACCAGTTTCATTGCCCTAAAATTTTTGCTAACTTAAGCTCTGCAGTATAAAATTTGTTACAATTACAGGATTTCTGTAATGGGTTAATATATATAATTTTCCACTCTTATCTATATGATGAAGCAATACAATTATTACCTTCAAAGACCATCAAACCATAAACAAATCACTTTGTGTGAAGTTTACATAAAGCTACATAGATGGTAAATCTTTCCTAACATTTCTTTATTCCACTGTCTTGTGTTTTCATGTTGAAAATACTTCTGCTTTTTCCTCTTGAGTGCCAACTTCTTACTAGAACAATTTCTTAATGTAATATGTTTACCTGGAATGTATTTTAACTATTTTTGTATAGTGTAAACTGAAACATGCACATTTTGTACATTGTGCTTTATCTGATGTGGAACATATGCAGTGTGATCCAGTTTTTCCATCATTTGGTTGCGTGACCTAGGAATGTTGGTCATACCAGACGTTAAGTTAAAAAAAGACCACTGTTCGTTTTAAAATTTTTAATGTTTTTTAGGAGTATGTGCTGTGAGGTGATCTGGAATTTGTCATTTTTTTTGTCAAACTGTACTGCTCCTATTTATTGTAATGTAATAAAAAATAGTTATTGTGAGTTTCTGTTCCTGTTTGCTTTTCTCTCCAAGAAGCTCAGTGCTCATCTCTGGAATGGAATATTCCATGAATTGCATGTGTTTGGCAATTGTTCTCAGTTTATTTCTTGCACTTCTTATTGCCAGCTGTTGTCTTTGCCCACTGGTCTTGCCTTCCTCTTAGAGGGGTTGCAGCATTTTGACAAAATGCTTTGTAATTCTCCACTTCTAGTCTGTGCTATCTGCATTCTGCACTCTGCTATGAGCAGAGCCTGGCTTCAGGCAAGGTTGCACCTCACATTCACAGGTGCTTGCTGCTACCACAGCCTTTCCTGAAGTAAGGGACTAACAGCTCCTATTCATGCCCCAGCAACCTTGTTTTCATTAGTCTAACAGAAGACTTGATTTGAACTTGTCTACACGTTAAAATAGTCTGAAAACCTATTTTGCATTCATTCCCGAGCTGTGCATTAGTTTTCTTTGCTCAGGTGCCTTCCATAAGCTTACAGAAAATACAAGATGCTCTTTAGTACTCACTGTGTCCTCACAGAAACATGTATGAAATTGGTACTTCTCTATTGTTACACTTTGGCTTTTTTCTTTTCAATCTGTTTCCCTCAGGATAATCCTTTCTCAGTTACTGAGAAGGGTGAGTTAAGTTGTGCGTACAGAAGTATACATTCATTCAGAACAGGGTTAAACTGTAGCATAGTGGAGAGGAGTTAATAAGCTCACTTGATGTGGAAGGACTGTTTCAGATCAGTGTGGTACTAGAAACTAAAGCACATATTTCATCTCAAGGTAGCTTACTATCTAATTTGCCTTAATTTTTTTTGGATATTATTCTGGAATTTTTGCTATTGCCAGCAGTTCTACTGGGTTGATTGCTTACCGATATTTCAAAGGTTATTTCTGTTCTACCTCCACTGTCACTTAGTTCTATGGGGAGAGAGAAAAAAAATAGTATGTACAGAATATTGGATACAGCACAAGTTTGTGCTAGTGGAGCCACAGCTGTCAAAGAGATAGCCGTGGAGCTAACGGCCACAGTCAAAGTTCTCCTTGCCCAGGGGAGAGGATCATGTTTTATATTTCTGCTGCAGTAGTTATGTGACATCGGAAATCAGGAGTAGCAGGAATTGCCTTTAGGGTCTAAGTCTGCAAGACGTTACTGCTTTAATTCATCATCTTCCTGATCCTGCAGGGTCCTTTTAATACCGTAAGACAGTGCCTCGGCCAGCCTGCCAAGATGACTCATATTAAGCAGTTGTAGTCAAAATCTTTAAGAACTTACTTTACTTTTGAGAAAGTGCTCACTTGTAGAAAAGGAACATTAAACGTGGAAGACTTTCAAAACTAGATTAATCTTCTAAGTAAGAGAAGTGTAGCAACTCGAATCATCATTAAAACATACAGCTCTTCAGGTACATATAATTTCCTGTTCAGCATCTACACTGAAGTGAAACAGAATAGAATCATATTACCACTACTTCCTGTAAAAAAATATTTTCATTTACCAAGTCACAGTTCAAAGGGGACAAGAATAGTTGAGAAAAATCTATAATCCATATAACACAAAACTCAACTCCGAAATCCTTCAAGCAATCACTTAAGGGTTGATAAAGGCCTAATTTGTAAATTTTAAGTACTTTAGATGGGTTGGAAGCATTTATTTTTCATTGCCTTTGAAGTTGCAGCTCTTTTATTGGTTTACCTTCACCCATTTGTATCATCACATGCAGTCGATAACACCATAGTTATTTATTGTCATCCTCGTAGTAGCGCTGTTTCATAGCTCTGTATTTTCTGAGATAGTACAAAGCCTCCAACTCTTTTATAACAAATTCTCCTCGTGCAATTAGTTGCTTAATTTTTTCAGGATCTTTCACATCTTTATTTTTTAGGAAAGCTGCTTTCAAACGGCTTCTAAAGTAGTCTGCTCCTTTGGGATATTCCCTTCCAAGGTACAGCAGCTTGGGGGGAAAAAAAAAAAGAATTTTTTTTTTTAGATTGAGTTCATAGCAAAAGGCTCTTATCTAGTTACGGAAAGTGCTAGTGGCAGTTAAGACACTTACATTTTTGTAAAGATTCAACACTTCACCTCTTAAAGAATTGGCCATTCTTACATTTCACTGAACTCTTATTCTTGTGTGATTTTTACCTAAAGAATAATCAATTTAACATTAGTCTTCTATAGGAGTTATTAAATCTCAGTCTAATATTCTATAGCAATTACAGTTTCTAGCCAGACTTCTTTATCTTGTTACTGCTGGCTCCAACTTCTGTTATTTTTTGTTCCACCTTGTGTCTTCTCCTTTAGCTTCTTTTAATTTTTGCTTCCATTTAGTTTCTCTTCTCCCCTTCCCTTTGCCCTCATCTCCAACACAAAGAAACCTGCACAAACTTTCAACTACTGTGACACTCGTTTACCTTTGCGTTGTTCACCTGCAGCTTTCTAACTTATTTGCAGTTTAGTTGTCTACTGGCCTGACATCTTATTTACCTTTGGTCTGTGCTGAAGAATTATGATTTATATATATCTATATACACATATATATACACATATATATGTATACACACACACACACACTCCTAAACTATGAGTTCTTGCAGCTGATGCGTTCATAAATTTTGTTTTTGGAAATCGTGTAAGGGCAAAACGCGTGTGAAATATTCTTAGTAGCGGTAAACAAATGCATTAAGCATTAAATGATTTTTTTTTAATTTTCATGAATAAAAGCAACGGGAATCGACCCCAGTTTTTGCAAGCAGCCCCTCTGCTAGGGGCTCCGCGAGCGCTCTCGGCGCCGACCCGCGCCTGCCCGCGGCCTG